ATTCCTCGAAGCATAACTTTTATTCGCATAGACACCGTCAGAAACAAAACAAGCATTTTATCAAGAGTCAAAGAAACATTAAACTACTAAAGTTTGTTAATGTTAGTAAGCAGCAATGGCCACTTCCTCCTGTATAGGCAAGCATGCAGAGTAAGGATAAAGTCCCCAATCAAAGCATGGAATGCTTAATTAAGATCAAGAAATTGTCTAAAGGAAATGAGAAGGGTTTCAGACAACCATCTTTCTTGATTTCGAGTTTTGGCGAAGCTCCAGCATCGTCATTCCCATCCCTGCCATCAGCATCATCATAACCATTATCAAAGTACTCATAATAATAGTCATTACCATCACTATCCTTGTCACAATCTATATTCGTCACCATCATGATTAAGTCTAGCACCACCACTACTAGCATCAGCATCATCCCCATCATCGGGATCACTGTTATCATTATAACCATAATCATCGCCACCATCATCATAATTATTACTATCATAATTATCCCTATCACCAATATCACGCCACTATCACCAGCACCGTTATCATCAATCTTCTACTTTTTATCATCATCATGGTAACCATCTCCACTATCGTCATTCTTATCATTATCATTACATTAATGATAATTACCATCATCATCGTTTTCACAATCATTATCACCATCAATAGCATAAGCGTTATAGTCATATTCATCGTCTTTGTCGTCAAAATCATTATCATTATCACCGTTTTCATTGCATACACGAGACTATGCTCTGAAGTCTTCTTCGTATAATCCAACTGCCACAACTCCAAGGTAATCCTTCGATTTCTGATGAGGCCAATTAATTAATCCCTTGAATATAATTTCCAACCATTCGATTTTGACTTTAACTTTTTGATTCTAGCAGAAGCTGCTCTTTTCAGCCATGCCTCTGCTCTCTTTGAGAGTCCGAAAGCTTAATCGCCTCAAGGTATTCACGTATTACCGGAATAGACCAAAGAGCGCATGTATAAAATTCTTACTTTATCACTTTCTTATTTTAGACCGGCCAAACAAGGGTGACTGTTTTAGGCCTTACCACGATTGCTGTTATCAGCAAATAGTAGTCGCCCCAGCTTGACGCAAGGCTTGCGCAAATACACATGCACGCCTACACAACATCGTGGTCACAGTCTATACTGTACCATTTCATATTTTATCCCCAATCCTGTAATTTGGCCTTGCTGTGCGGACACCGGACAATTAAATTTCTGAAGGTCTTGCATTGAAAGACTCTAAAGTGACGTCAGAATTACTCACTGGCTATCCTCTTCAAGACAACTTAACATAGTCTGTGATGAAGAATATCGAAGGTGGATTGCATCGGAAGAGTAAGGCTGAATACTCTTGAACAACTGTCTTTTGGCCTTACTAGAACATATGCGAAGAAGAGTTAGGCTTCCAGGACTCTTGTTTCATAATTGTTGTGCTTACTTCTATTTCGAGTGAAAGTGTTTGGTGAAGAGATTCTAATGTCGATTCCACCAGAAGACGATGGCGGATTCCTCCTGACCAGTTGTCGATTGGCTTTACTGGAACATTCATGCTGACGCTGTTTCCGAGGTAATCTCCTTCGATTCCGGTGAAAAGGTGCAAAGCTTTCGTCTGTCACATGACGAACATCATCAGAGCAAGGTATCATCGTCTCAATCAAATTCAAGCTAACGAGTTTTCTTGACTCCAGCTTTTATTCATGCATGCACTAAGATTTCGTTTGTTATATGGTACATGCCATCAGAACAGGCTATCATCCTAACAACGTATTCTCACTAAAGAGTCAAGATATCTCATTTTCCCACCTCTATATCTTGTAAATATTCTCTATAACTATGCATTTTTAGCAGCTATTTAATAATTTGTGTAGTCCATGCCATATACCTTATATATACCATATGCCATACCACACATACATGTAAGCTTGTGTATGCATGTGTATACCTCCATGTGTATAATAAGGTACGAAGCCAAGTAAAGTCAAGCGTAACCTCTAACCTCGTACTTTTTTAACTATTATCCCGAGTGCTTAAGGTTAGATACGAAACTCGTCATTGCACACTTTCGCTTGAAATGAAAGTGAGCTCATCCACTGTAAACCAAGAGATCACACCACATTGAACAACCTTAAACGTGTTACGCATGGATTTGTTGTGGAGACTTTCTGTCGTATGAAAGTGTTTGATGACTAGTTTCGTAGGCCGATCTCACCTAAGACGACATCTCATTCATATTGTCCGTCATATGACATAGTTATTCAGGGTTATTAGGACTTAAGTTTTTCCTGGGTCCATTAAACCTTGGTAACCCGAACCTGATGCCAGTCTATTTTGTAATTACTCAAAGTTATGGCTAATATTGCATCTTCTTACTTACAGGCGTACAGTCTCTAACGCACGCACATACACAGACTTATACAAATTCAATCGTAAGTAGCCGAACTATATTTACCCGTATAAGTTTTTTTGATACTATTATATTATTTAGAATAGAGCCGGATGGTCTTCTTAAATTCGGATTGACTCAAAGCTTTTGCAAGAATGAGTTCCAGCTCTGAGAATGTCTATAACACGACACAGAAGAAAGCTGAAAACGGACGGATTGAGGTGGTAGGAGGGGAGCGTTGAGTTGTTCGCACAAAGCTACAATCACAACTGTTTCCTGTGAAGCTAATTTTCTAATCACTTCTATCCACCCATTCAAATGAAATTAAAGACACAAAAGCATGAATCTATTGAGCGATTGTTCGGAAACGAATTGCCCTTCATTTCTATGCTAA